TCGACGGCAATGGGACCACCGCCGCCTACATGACTACATGACGATGATAACGGTACCACCGCCAACGGCAGCAGCAGCAGAATCAGCAGCACAAACAACGCAACCACCGCCGTCTACATTAGGCTATGCTATGCTTTGTAGCGAAAACAGCACGTCGGAGCCCGCCTCTCTCTCTCTCTCTCTCTCTCTCTCTCTCTCTCTCTCTCTCTCTCTCTCTCCCTCTCTCTGTGTGTGTGTCCCTGTCTGTTTCTCCCTCCCTTCGATCTCTCCATCTGTNCTCTCTCTCTCTCTCTCTCTCTCTCTCTCTCTCTCTCTCTCTCTCTCTCTCTCTCTCTCTCCCTCTCTCTGTGTGTGTGTCCCTGTCTGTTTCTCCCTCCCTTCGATCTCTCCATCTGTCTCCCTCGCTTGTCTTTCTGTATGTCTTTCTCTGCCCCTCTGTCTCTCTTCCCTTGGCCTGTCTGTCTGCCTGCCTGCGTGTCTGTCTTTCTCTCTCCCTTTCTTCTCCTCCGTCGCGTTCTTACCAGGCGAGGCCGTCGAGGCACCCGTTCGCCGCCGCGTACCCCGGCTCCCCCGACAATCCCAGCACCGCGGAAGCCGAAGAAAACAGCACAAGGAAGTCCAGCTCAAGCCCTTTGGCTGAGGCAACGCCAGACAGATTCAGTGCCCCCGCCACCTGTTGCGTCGTTGTTTTTATTAGACGTATACACGCATACGGCCGCGAACGTTGATTGGCGATTGCAAAGTACAGGCAGCTGGTACTACGAATTCATTGCTAATCTATCAATAATAGGACTCCTTTCCATGGATGGAGATGGACTTGTTGTGTCATGAGAACTAAAAATAAAGGAAATTTAGGCAGAGGGGAAAGAGGGGGGGGGGGGGGGTTCGGGCAACCACCGCTGTTTGAGGCTCCACACGAAGATTCATGTTCACACGCAACGGTCATGTTTCTATCGACACATAACTATTGCTGTACATTGAGCTTCCGCCTCATCACCAGCTACGGCAGAGCATCACACGACATGGCATCGCACCTTGGCTTCGAGGAACGGCCGGTCCGCTTCCGACTTCGCCCCCTTGTCTTCGTCGCCCCCTCCCCCGCCCTGGGGAGGGCAGGCGGCGTGAACGATGCCTCGCACGGGAGGCAAACCCGCCTCGGCGGAGGCCGCGATCCCCAGAGCGGTTTGGACGTCCTCGCGGACGGTCACATCGCACCGGAGAACGACCACCTGTCGAGTTGAAGTTGACAGGAGGGTCGAAGGCGAACGGTCGTTCAGGATTTTTTTCTTCGGCCGGAAGCACCGCAGGAGGTAATGTCGAAAGCAAAAAATATTAAGGGTGAAAAAAAACAGCAACTCCTTCGTGCCTCCGGGATGGTGCCTCCAAGTGCATCAAACATGTGGTGTAGGTCCGCCGAGAGGCTGTAGTGTACTGCTGTAGACTGGCGTCTAGACTCGATGCAACGAATACACGCACACACACAAGCACGCGAGAGTCATGCTTTCTACATGTAACTGTCGGAAAAATCACGCCATAAAAGCATGGAAAGGTTACAGCAGTGCATGCTCTCCATACGTAGAGGTCGGAGGCCACCCAATGAAAAAGGAAGGCATTTAGTATATCTAGGTCAGTAGAGGGTGAAGCGTGTTTATCTGTCTGGTGACCTCGGTATTGTGTAGTCTATGCATCACCTTGGTGGTGTGTATCGCGGACAGAGCGGACCAAGCGCGTCCCCTAGGCGAGTCGGCCTTCAGACCCTCCAGGAAACCCTCGCCTCGCCTGCGTCGCGGAACAGTAGACGAACAAACGAACGAACGAACGAACGAACGTCCAAAACAAGACATGGCTCGACGAAAAAAACAACATGGTCAGCGGTGACACAGGGGACGGGACGTAAAACAAATGCTCAGAAGCATGGCGGACTATCCGTCGTTTTCGGCTGGGTTGTTCACGGAGAGAGTAAATTTGCTTTGCGAATACATCTCTCGAATGTAAGCACGTGTTGTGGGTTTTCGCCCCCGCTTTTCTGGGCACCTGTATGCACCTTGTTCGTTGCAGTGTTCATTGCACCAACCGAGGTACTAAGGCAAAAGCACCCCTTCCTTCGGGGCAGAACAACCTCGAACGGTCACTATAGTCTCTCCTTCATGCCGTGCATATCATGCCCTGCATTCTTTGGAAAACAGTTGCTGTAAGCCCAACCATACTACATGCTACTGCTTCCGAGGATTCGTGCATACGATTCCAAACACCAGACCTGCTGAGCAGCGCCAGCCCGCCAGCGCCAGCCCTGGCGAACCTCAAGGCGAGATCGAGTCCTATGCCGCCGGTACCCCCAGTGACGACGTATGTTCCCCTAGGGGAGAGGTGTCGCGACAGCGGGCACCGGTCGCCTGAGGGGAGCACCTCCACGGTCCTGCCCAGAAAAAAGACGTCAAACCACGTGTTGTGGATGCATCGTATATGTGCTTCTGTTTATAGCGCAAGCTTTGCGGTAACCGAGGCAGGAGGCACTCAATACTGTAGGTACGAATGCGTCGGTATGAAAAAAATGGCCAGGTAGAGACGTAACAACAACAGCAGCACCAACTCAAGATGGACGTTTGGACCTCAATCATGCAGCTTGGCTCGTGCTTTTTTTTTTGCTGTTGCTGCTTCAGGGATTGGCTTGTTGTTTTGTTACTAGTTGTCGTCTTCACAAACCGTTCCGATTTCTCTACCCAGTACCTTCATCTGTCCATACTAGTGTAACACTTGACGCGGTCGATTCCCGTGGCCACAGGAAAACTTGCCCAAAAAAAAGGTATGCAACAACAAAAACGGACCCGAAGGGTCCGCAAGTCAATTGGGTAATGTTTTTTTCTGTGGATGCTCGGTGTCTTCCGCTTGGACCAGCGCAAAAGTACCGGCCACCCACCCTCCTACCCCGCTGCACTACAGTCTACTCTCGACTCGGCCTTGTAACGCCAAACAAACCGTGGTGTTGGTGTTAATAATCGAACCGACTGACTCACCGCCCTGCCTCCAAACGTGGGGCGAAAAGCTTCCCTGCTCTCAAGCAAACCTCCGGCTCGCCCAGTCGGCCATCGGCGGCGTCGTCTTGGAGAAGAGTAACAAGGTCCAGAGCCGACTCCGACTCCGACGCAGCGGCCGCGCCAGGCATGTCAACGTGCCTGCAAGAAGGTTGGTAGCCAGGAACGGGAATTGAGGGAATACTGCTGTACGCACACCGTGTTTCTCACCACTTCACTGATGCAGAGACTTCATTGAACACATCCCGTGGATTGGGATATAACATGGCCTCAACAGAACGTCTCTTACTTTTAGCCAGCGGCGTCACCACGAAGGGTGTTCTCACGTAATTTTCGATGATGTTAGCACCAAAGGGGCTTCATAACTATCTTCTCGAATAGCTGGTCTTTTCGTAGCATCATGGGTCAGCCGGTTAGCGCGGTCGATGCTAACTAAATAGCTCAACCACAACCCCACGCCGACACACATGGGGAGCGAAGGGGCTCCGCGTGTCCCCAGCAGGTGGCACAGGTAAGCCTTGTGTGTCATCCTTACCTCATCTTGAGTTGAGGGAACTGCAGGGCGAGAGACCGCAGGGTACCCGGCAGCCAAGACATTGACCACCCCTCCACCTGCTCGTCATAATCGCGTGGGTGACACGCGTCAGGCAGCATAGTTTAGTGCGTTGCGTTTAGAGCATACACGTATGCGTTCCTCATACACACAGGTGTGCGCGGGGAGAGAGGGATGCAGCGAGGTACTGTAGCTTGCTGTGGTGTAGGAAACGTGGGCTTCAACCGTCTCTTCCTGACCAGCAGTATTTGCAGCCCGCTTCTCTACGGACTCCGTATGAAACTTACTGCCTCAAGAAAGCGTGCTTGCTTTGCTCAAGAGACAACACACAAGGGGGGGAGAGGGACGGCACGCAACCATTATTCTTCAAACACGTGAAAAACAGAGTGCTGGGGGGGGGGCGGGGGGTTGCGACTTGATCGTACGTTGGTGGCACCCATGCCGACGCGAGATTATAGTTGCTCCTGCCGTTCAAGTGCGACAATGCAGCCGAGGAGCATTGTCTCGCCGGTGGGCCTACGCGCGGCCGGCCGTCCGGGAACGTTGGACGACAAGCACGACGGGCCGCGAGGCGGGCTCTACCGTTAACGCGGTCGTCTCTCAAATCACCACTTTTTCCCCTGAGTCACCACATACAACACGACACGGTGCTGCTAACAGCGCTCGCTATCCCTCTCTGTCTGTCTGATCAATCTCTCTCTGCCTCTCGCTGTCTGTCTGACTGATGCGATCTCTCTCTCTGCCTCTCTCCTCTCTCTGTCTGTATATGTCCCTGTCTCTTACCTCGTCGCCGTCCAAACAAGGGTGAACCCCGCGGGTGACGACGACCGCCTCAGGGAGGGGACGGAACGAAGACGTCCCCGTCCTCGCCAACGCCACCGCAAAGGCGAGGAAGGAAGCCATCTCAGCGGCGGCGGAAGTGCCGAAGGCGACCTCGCCGTCCTTCCCTCCTCCTTCGCCCACGACGTAGACGATGTGGTTGAGCTCTGGTCCGACGCCACCCCGAAGCAGTCTTATTACGCAGCAGTAGAGACGTAGAGGAGAGAGGGGGAAGGGAAAACGCCCAAAAACAGTACGAAGGAGACAAAAGCAGTAATACGTTTGTCTTTTCAGGTCGCCAGCGGTGGCGCAGCACGAGGGACACCGACCGAGAGGAGAGAAAGAGAAGGGGGTCGAAGCACCTAGACGAAAAACGAACGAGATTTATACTAGATATTAACACATTCGTCTATTCTCGTCGTCAGCAGTCGAGACTGTTGTTCGGGGAACCGTTCCAAAGCATGACCAGTTTCTGGTCCATCCTTGTGGCAACCTACCCCGGGTCGGCGAGAAACCGGTATATTCCTCCGTTCCGACGTTGCAAGGATACAACATCCAACGACTACGGCATGAGTCCCCCCGCCCCGTGATCTCTCTTAAAGAAAACCGTACCTTTCGAGGCGGGCGATGGCGGCGGTCTCTCCTCCTGCCGCGGTCGGCCCGACCGTCAAAAGATGAGCAAGGCAACCCCCCTTGCCCCCATCGTCGCTCGAGACAGCGTCGGATAGAGAAGCGTAGCTCGCGTCCGTCCGCCCGGCCAGGAGCCAGACCACTTCCTCCGTCAACGGCGGCTCCCCGTCAACGACGTCGCCGCCGCCGCCGGCTTCTGCCGCCGCCATCGCCGTTGAATCGCTCCGCTTCCTCCCACCCTCAACACTCCCGTCCGCGCCTGACGACGATAACTCTCCGACGCGGACCCACTTCGTCTCCAGCAGCCTGAGCGGCGGCCGCCGCCCTCGATCGCCACCGTTGCGCCGCGACGCCCCAGCGGCCACTGCCTTCGGTTCGGCCGGAGTCGAGGCCGCCGAACCGCCGTTAATCCAAGGGTATGACCTGCGGCGGTAGTGGACGCCCCTAACCGCGCCCACCACGTGGCCCAGCCCGCGCTTGCCCGCCGCCCTTTCGTCCGGGGACATGGCGGCCATCCACCGCGGGGAGTCCGCCACCGCCGCCCTATCTCTCGCACCGCCGCCGCCGCAGCTCGCCCCCGGCGCCGCCCGCAGCGCCCTCCGGCCCATGCGGCAGAGCAGCGCGGACGGCCCCACCTCAACGAACGTGGTTATCCTCTCCGACAGTGGCGACCCCGCCGCCTGCTGCTGCTGCTGCTGCTGCTGCGCGGCGCAAGACGTCGTCAGCGTGGTGAGGCCGTCGTGGAACCTCACGGTGCCGAGGACGTGGCGCCCCCAGTAGGCCGGGTCCGTGAGCTCGCCCTCCCGGGCGAGGCGGCCGGTGACGTTGCTCGCCAGGGGCACGTCCGGGTCACGCAGTGAGACTCGGCGAGCGGCCGCCTCCGTGCCTGCCGCCGCCGCCGCCATCGCCGGGGAGTGGAACGCTCGGGAGACCCCCTGGAGCATCCGGAAGCGGTCCGCGGGTAGGTCGAGGAAGGAGGCGGAAGCCGTCGCATTGTCGCCGGTGCTCTGTCCTCCGCAAACGCCAGCAGCAGCAGCAGCAGCAGCAGCAGCACCGTAAGGTTCAGCGTGGCCGTTCGCAGCAGTCGCGCCGCCGTTGCCGCAAGCGCTGTGGCCGTTGGAGGGCGGCGGCGGCGGCAACGACTTGTCGCCGCTGAACTTCCTCGGCGAGGAGGTAGGGGGGGAGGCGCGCCCCCCTATCCGCGGTACGCCTCCGCCTCCGCCGCCTGACAACAGCCCAGCATCATCGGACAGCGGGCCGTCGGAGAGCGCTCCATCAGACATGGCGCCATCGGTGCTCGAGGTCGTGTCGGACCCGGCGTTAGTCCTCTCCGCCTCCTCGGAGTCGATGCTGGGGGACACAGAGCCCGTTGACTCAGACCCGTCGACCGCGGCTTTGCCGCCGCCCCCGCCGGCGACTGCGACGACGGGCGCCTTCGCGCCGGCCAGCCAGCTCATGTGGCGGGTGCTAAACCCGGAAGGGTTCCTGTTGACTCCCGCTCCCCCGCCACCACCGTTCGCCTCTAGGCCGAGCGCGGATAAGCTGCCGCCGCTACTGCTACCGTTGTTCCCCGGACCGGAGTCTCTGACGTCGACGGCAGCGGGCCCAGCCTGCTTCTCGGCGGTGGGCGGCGGCGACGGAGACGATGACGCCAATGCGGCTGCCGACACCATCTCCACCAGTCTGCGGGGCCCCGACAGCACGACGGAGTCGGCCCCGTTGACGGCCGCCACCGACACGCGGCCGCCGCCTCCGTGGAGCGCCGCCGCCGCCAAGGCTGCGCTCTGTGAAGTTCAAGGGGGGGGGGCGGTGTATGGGGCGGTGCATAGGCGATGTAAACAGAGAGCAACCGTTATGGACGTAAAACAACGAGGGTAGTCGCGCAGACTGACCGATCTGGCCTAGACCCGGCGTTCTCCGTTCCGCAGGGGGCACAAGCGTGGACCGATCCAACAACCGCCCACTACAGTAGATAAAAACTGAGGCTTGGCTAAGCCAACATTGCGGGTTCGTTTGACGGCGCTTTCCAGGCCCAAAAACCTTTCTCGCTCTCTTGCTCACTCTTATGTCTCATCCCCCTTCTCTGTCTCTGTTTTTTGTCTCTCTTTCCCTCTTCCTCTCTCTTTCCCTTTCCCTTTCCCTCCCTCCCTCCTCTGTATCTCTCTCTCTCTCTCTCTCTCTCTCTCTCTCTCTCTCTCCTCTGTCCCTCCTCTCTCTCTCTCTCTGTCTTTTGTCTCCCCTTCCCTAGATGTTCCTCTCTCGCTAGGGCCGCAGGAATCAGCGGGACCCGGCGAAAAGGACCAGCGGGTAACATCCCTTCCAGCCCGCCAGCCAAGCCTCCTCCCCGCCTACACCTGGGGTTGGCGCAAACGGTGGACCGGCCGCGCTTCCTTCCTTGCTTGTTTGTTGTGTGCTCTCACCTCGGGAGACCGCACCGCGGCCATGCACTCGGGCCCGTCCTCGTCGGCCGTTTCGCTTTCGCCTGCTCCCCCCGTGGTCGAGGCGTCGTCGTCCATTAGCCGACCTCGCTCAGCGACCAGGCGAACGCCCTGACGGTGAGGTAGGAATATTACGGTTCGAAGTGCGTTACGGGAAGGCGTGCGGTACGGAATGCCAGAAGACTGGCGTCGTGTCGTTGGTCGATGCTACTTCTTACTTCTATATAAAAATGAAAATATTACGGCCTTTAGAATCGTTTCTGTTTTCGGTCGCACGTGTTCCCGTTGGTCAGCCGGTTATCGCGCCATCGATGCTACATATAATAACAAACACGCACACGCACACAACAGTCACGTCGATTGTTCGCGCCTTTATCCCGCTAAAAGACTGGTGCCTTTCATTGGTTAGCCCGTTGGCGCGGTCGATGATAACAACACACACACGTCGTTGTTTGCGCTATTATCCCGCTATTACACAAGACTGGTGCATTTTCATTGATCAGGCGGCTAGCGCGGTCGATCCTCAGAATACAGACACACAGACACACACAAACACCGCACCTCCCGAAGAGTCATGACACCGGCCGCGCAGGCCGCCGCGAGCTCCCCCAGGGAGTGACCCATGACCGCAGCGGGCACCACTCCGGCGGCACGAAGGGTAGCCGCCGTCGCGCACTCCACGGCGAACAGCGCGGGCTGGGCGTAGCGAGTGGTCGCCAGAAGTTTCGCTGAAGAAAATTGCGTTTAGTTGACGGAGAATGGGGGCATGGCATGGGGAGTTTGTTTACGATGGGCGGTGGGTGAAAGCTTGGATGGAAGCCATTGGCACCGGCAAGTGTGTTCTCACGGAATACACACGGAAGATAATGATGGTATAGTAACGGCTCACAAACATAAGCATGGAGAGAACAAACCACTCACGGCCAAGACCTGAGCCATACTCCACGATGGCGGGGGTGGGGGGGGGCGGGGGGATTCCGAACTTGATAAATCCAAAAGACAAAGCAGTGGTGGTAAGGTCGTGGAAGCTAAGTTTTGGATGGCTTGACACGCAAACAAAAATACATCCTACTGGTAAACAACTCAAGCATATACGCGGACGTACGCAAAAAAAGCTAGCACGAACGAGACCGAAGGGTCATCGACAAACTTTTGAAATTCACAACGCACACCAAACGCAGCGGAGCCACGAGCACAGCCTCCGGAAAAGCGGCCCAAGCCAGCATATACCCAAAAACCAAAACATGCCAAAAATCAAACGTCACAAAGCGCCGCCGCCGGAAAGACGCCCTCTTATGTCAGGAAGGCAAAGATAAAAAAACGAAAACAAAAAAAAGAACACCAAAACATAAAACCTGCGTCCTTCTCGTCCCCGTAGAGCACCGACAGGGGCCGCCTCAACGGCGCCCCCCGATGCCAGGCAAAGCCAAAACGTAAATAAAATACACGCCACAGTATAAGCAAACAAAAACAAACCTGCGTCCTTCTCGTCCCCGTAGAGCACCGACAGGAGCCGCCTCGGCAGCACGCCCGCCAGCTCCTCGTCGCACGCGTCCACGATCGCCCTGAACTCGCCGTAGCTCTCGTACAACTCCCGGCCCATGCCGGGGTACTGCGACCCCTGCCCGGTGAACAGGAACGCCACCCCGGGGACAGGGGACGGCGCACCCCCTTCCCCTCCGCCGAAGGCACCGTCCTTCCCCTCTAGGACAACGTGGGCGTTCGTGCCCCCGAACCCGAACGAGCTCACGGCTCCGAGCAACGGCGGTCGGGGGCCATCTCCGAGAGAAGCTTCTCCCCCTCTTCCCCCCTCCTCCTCCTGCGGGTTGCCTCGTTCTTGCTCCTCGTCTCCACCGGCGGAAAAGAAAGAAGTGACTGGCCCGCGGCCGCGGCGGGGCCGGGGGCGGAGGAGGCGTGTTGGTGCACCCGGGGCGGGGAGCACCGCCGGGAGGGAGGACAGGTCGATGCGAGGGTTCACCTCGGACGCGTGGAGGTTGGGCGGCGCCGACCCGTGGGCCAGCACGAGGATGGTCTTGATCAGGCCCGAGATACCCGCGGCTCCCTCGAGGTGTCTGTCGGGGGCGTGGTGTCGGGAAAGGCATGCGGGGGCGGGGGCAGGGACGTTGTGGCTGGGCAGGCTTAACAGAGTGCCATGGTTCCGCGTGCTTGGCCCGTGAGGCAAGAGCCGCCGGGAGGAGACCTAAGCATGGACCCTTGTTACAGTACAGCAGGGAGTATCTGCTTGACCCGCACGCATAATCCTTGGCAATGTTTGCGGTAACTTTATCGCCTAATGTTTGCTGAAAAGGGCGTGAACTTTACCTTTTCCCCTAAGACAAAATCCACGTATGAATAAAATAGGTTGTCAGTGCGAGACGTTTGTTGTTGCTGCAAGGGTTCGGGTAGGGTCGTAGGGTTTGGGTGTGACTATTCTTCTTGCTCCTCGCTTGTCTCGAGAAGTGGTTGAATTTGCTGTCTGTTCTCTCTTCGGCACCAACGTTAACCCCCCCCCCACCCCCACCGCTCAAGAACAAGCATGTCTCACCCAATGTTCGACTTGACCGCTCCGATGACGAGAGGGCTTTCCGCGGTCCTGAGGGGAGTTACGTCACGAAAAAGGAAGGGAAGGCGTAGGTCCAGCGGGAACATGAAGGCATGGGAAGCTTGCAAAAGTGACGCCCCGGGTAGTGTCTACACCAGTCTCCCAGCACCTTCGTCTTTAACGGACGGGAACATCGGTGTACAATTGGCCGTGCTCTTAGAAGCTGCGAGCCGCGAATGGACTTTTGTGCCTACAACCGACAAGGGTTTGGAGTGATCCACGCACAAGAGAGACAAACACAAAGAAAGGCACATCCCCATACCACAACCTGCATCGCAGCGGTCACGGCCTCTCCGGCGGCGATGCGTCGAGTGGGAGAACGGAAGGAATGAATCAGACCAAATACAAAAGAAGGATCTACGAAATCTACGGAGGTTTTATCGCACCGGTCGGACTTCGAGTCTGAATAAAAACGGAGAATCCATGCTACGAAATCTACGGAAATGATACCGCGCCTTTCGGGGACTTTAGAGCCTGAACATTATGGAGAATCTACGAGATCTACGGAGATGGACACCATGATATCGCTCCTTTCGGAGATTTCGATGTCGAATAAAAAAGAAAAATCTACATGTGCGCAATCTACGGAGATAATATCGCACCTTTCGGGTCCGTAGACGGCCTTGAGCGCCCCGAACTCAACGGGATCGCCCAGAGCAGTCCCGGTACCATGAGCCTCCACGTAGGAAACCTGCGTAGCGTTATGCGTTTACACGTGCGTCACACCAATCGTTAGTTGTTGTTGTCATCATGGTCAACGAAACATTGTCAAAGTGTTGTCATGCTTTCGTCTTTAGAGAGAGCGTGGGCGAGGCTGGAGCAACAAGATTTGATTGTTGTTGGATGTGGCGGTTTTTGTAAAAGCGGGAGCGGGGGTCCTTGTAAGTGTATCTACGCCATGCCACAGCTAGTTAGTCCGTTTCATCTTTCGGTTCACCCCCACCTGATAAAAACCGTCATAATAAACGCTTTGAGAGGGTTGCAAACTAGACCAAGCCGAGAAGCACAACGGGCTCGACAAACGCCTCCATAATGAAGGAACGAACCACCACAAAAAATATGGAAAAAAATTACTGGAGTTATAAGTAGTAGAAACTCTCGTCAAAACCACGCGCGAAAAAAAAAACAAAGAGAAACGTAAAAACTCGCGTCAACACGGCCCGCAAAAAAAATACTTCCTTACAACAGAAATGTAGAAACTCGTGTCAACACAACCAGCAATCATAAGAGAAAAAACACAATTCGTTTCAAGACAAGAATGCCCACCTCTTTAGGTGCGATCCCAGCCTCTCGGAGAGCCGCCGCTATGGTGGACTTCTGCGACGTGCCGTTGGGGGCGGTGAGGGTCGCGCTCCTTCCGTTGTGCCCCACGGCTGACCCCTGTGTGTGTGTGTGTGTGTGTGTGTTTTTATTATTAGCATCGACCGCGCTAACCGGCTGACCAATGAAAAGACGTCAGTCTTAGTGTGTGTGTGTGTGTGTGTGTCCACATGAACCACGAAGGGGGTGGGGGAGAAGCCCTTGAAAAGTCTTGAAAAGTGCGGGCTTTGGATGCACACATCCTCGCTGAGGCACTCATGTAGGTCCCGGAGGGTAGGGTTTAGCCGTTCGTTGCGTGTGCACAAATCTTCGTAACAGCAACAGCAGCAGCGGCAAGGCAGTAGCGGCAGCAACAACAAACAACAACCATCGGCAGCAGCGACATCAACAACGACGACGCAAACAAAATCAGCAACCTCAACAGCAGCAACACCACCCGGGTCATGACAACCCCCACCCCCCCTCGCCCACGCACCTTGATGACGGCGAGCACCCTGTCCCCGTCCTTCGTGGCGTCCTCGAGCCTCTTGAGCACGACGGCGCCGCAGCCTTCCCCTCGGCCGTAACCGTCGGCCCCGGCGGAAAACGCCTTCGAACGACCGTCCGGCGCCAACATGCCCGTCTGCTCTCGAAGTTTTCATGTGGGGTAAGGTAACGTCCATGTTGGATACGGTAATATAATCTTCGTGTGAGATACCGGAGATTTTCCATGTTGGGTTCGGTAGTCTCGTACATTCCATATTGGATGAGGAGATTTTCGTGCTGGATACAGTGAAAATCCATGTTGGATACGGTAATTTCCATGTCCGATGCGGTACGGTTCCGGTTCCGGGTCGGTCGGGTTCACGCCGAACCTGTGGCTACACTAGGGGGAAGCACTTAAAACAGACCCAAACAATCCGAGTATCCAGCCCAAGCAAGATCCTCAACACTCCCTGCTGTAAAATACTTTCAACACATCTGTTGCAGTATCCCGGAGAGAGTGATGTAGGAAAAGCTACAAGTGTATTTAGATAGCACACACCTTCGAGAAGAGATCGAACGGACCGGGCGACAGCAGCAGGTTGACCCCCCCCACCAGCGCCACTCGTGGGCCCCCCTCCCCCCTGAGGTGCAGGCACGCCTGCCGCAGGGCCACCAGCGACGACGAGCACGCCGTGTCCACAGTCATGCTCGGCCCCACTGTCCCCAGCGTGAAGGAAAGGCGGTTGGCGAGCATGGACGACGCAGCTCCCGTGCTGCGCATGGAAGGGAGGGGAAGGGGGCTTCTAACGAGGAGTGAATGGCAACGGTTCTCGAGCGGGCTTTAGCTCTTTGGGCGAAAAAATTAAGCTCGGGGGGAAATTATGACTTGGACTGCTTGTGAGGCGCGACCCCAAGGTTTCGCGCGTGTGCTGCGGGGAGGCGGGGAGGGCGAGCCACCAACGTTTTCCTTTTTGTCGGCCACTGTTCTTCTCTGCAGAGGTGGAGGCGTGTCGACTAATAACTAACATGGTCGAACCTCCGAGCTACAAACACACATCTCGGCGCAACCTACTCCCGACATTTAACTACATAGTCTCCGTTATCAACACCATTGACGAAGCAAACTTGCAGCCAAAGGCAAAAAACACCCCACCAACACCAACAAATCACTGCTGGAAAAACATAACGAATGAATACCATTGCACAAATGATCGCACCTGGTGTACGGGCCGCGCGGAGCCGCCGCCCCCCCTTCGGCGAGCAGGGTGGCCCAGTCCGTTCCGCAGGCCCCCACGAAGATGCCCGTATCGCTGCCGCGGAGGGAGTCTCGGGTGAAGCCCGCACGGTGCAGCGCCTCGTAGCCGACCTAAACCACAAAAAAAAACACCACGTACGTCATGCAGTTGGTACCGTATGCATCTACAATTAGGAAAATAAGGGCTCTTACACAGAATATGCATGACGGCCAACACCAGAGAAAGGCGACCACAACGGTGGTGCGCCATGTTTTACATACGAGTTCGGTGCGCAACCATGAGATGTTCGTTCGAGGGTTTAATCAGAGAGTCAACAAAGGCAAGGCCGTCCCAGAGAGATCTGTGTGCTTTGTCATTGCAAGAGTTGGGCTGCACACTTACGTATCAAGAGGTGAAGCTGCTAAAGGCCACAACTACAGAACAAAGACTACGCACCCATTCGAGATGACAACAAGAGGGTGTGCATATAATATATATTTTCTCTTGAAATCAGCGCTCGTGTTGGAGTCTCCAATAACCATTTGCGGAGAACACGATAGCGCTAAGCAATCATATGGAAAACACACATGTGTGTGTATTTGAATGGGCCCATGGTGAATGCGGAGTAATTATCGTCTCCCTCACCCCTAGGATCGGAGGTATTCGGTTGAGAACGGCAGAAGGCCGGTTTAGCCGGAGAGAAGTCGGAGCGACAGCCATGTCTACTGAAGGGGGGAAAAAGAAAAAAAGAAGTCCACACCATCGACCGCCGTGTGTTGTTGGACATACCCAACACACTTACACAAGTGTTGTTCATCCCTCTAGAAAGACTGACGTCTTAGCCGGTTAGGGCGATCGTTGCTGACCTGGAGGAAGAAAAAAGACTCAAAACATGCCCAGTGCCCAGCAGGTTTTTCCCCCCACTCTCTGCAAAGACTTCAACCCATCCCGACTGTGGTTGCATCTTTCGTTGATTGTAAGTGTGCGTCTATTTCCTAAACAAAACCACACACACACGGACCACCTTTGCGAGAAACTAAGTTAATGAGGAAACAGAATGGGGAGGGGTTACGCAGACCGTATTCCCTAACCCTAACCCTAACCCAACATTCCCGATTGCATGCATTATCCAACATGCTAGCTTGATACAAAAAACAACGGGAAGGCTGCTGCACGCACCTCGAGCATCATCCGCTGCTGCGGATCCATGCACCGGGCCTCCGCGGGGGGTACCCCGAAGAATGAGTCGTCGAATCCCCAGGCCTCCCCCTCGGACAGGAAACCCCCGCGGGTCTCGATGTTGCCGGGCTTGCCATTCGCCGGGGGCCCCTCCTGAGTGAACATCCCTTCCCCGGTGGAAGTGCTCCAGCTTCTTGGTTGGGGAGGTTGGTGTTACGGCAGAAAGCGGCGGGGGGAGTTGAAGCGGTTGGATATGGTCAAGTGTAGGGTGGGGGCTTTCTTCCTGTGGACATCGGGGGTGTGGTGCTGACATCAATAAGACTCACGTTGCACCCGAACGGCACACAACCGCAAGGCAGAACCACCAGCAGCAGAACCAGCAGCAGCAGCAGCAGCAGCAGCAGCAGCAGCAAAAAGACAGCAGCAGCACCGACAGCGGAAGCGACAAATGAAACAATCGCTCACCGGTCCGATGGCACCCCCGAGGTGGCGTCGGCACCCTTCCGAAGGAAATCCCAGAACGCCTCGGGACTGTCGCAGCCTCCCGGGAAGCGGCAAGACATGCCCACAACCGCCAGCGAGTGACCTCTTCCCCTTCCCCCTCCGTCTCCGGATTCCGTGCTGCTGGTTCGGCACCGCCAGGTTCGGGTTGGGTGAGGGGGGGGGGGGG